AACACAAATCAAAGGCTAGTGCTGTGGATAGTATGTGTGCAGAGACTGCAAGGTCAGTAATTGCTAACTAAGATATGAGGTTACCAATGTCATCTCTCTGCACTCCCAAAGATGGGACTCTGTTGTTGCTGCCAGTCATCTGGGCAGATATTTCTTTCTTTCTTTTTAAAAAAGATTTATTTATTTATTCATACAGAACTGGGGTACAAGCCAAAGGTTCAGGGATGGTGAGAGGCTTCACCAGAGGCAGAGTGGGGAGCAGAACTGGCAGATTAATGAAGTACACTGCTGAGGGGAGCAGCGGGCGGGTCAGGAGAGGTCTGCCACGCCATGGGGATCACCTCCGGGCCTGGGGATCGAACTCGTGCTGCGCTAGCTTGTAGTGCTGCATCCTAACCCCTGTGCCACCATGGTGGACCCATGGGCAGATATTTCTTTCAGAGAAAGAAAAATGAGGGTGTCCAGAAGAGAGGGACACATGCTTTCTTTTGATTTGATATGTATCTATCAGAATGTCTCAAGGACTCCTAAGGCTGAAAGGTAGCTTGTAGCTTGGAGAAAAGTCAGAAAGAGAGAAGGAATACATTCAGCAGCTTGTTCCAGGCTCTTAGGCTAAAATTTAGGGGTCACAGGAGAGCATGCAGAAGACAACGTGATAACTGAAAGCCAGTCTGCTATGGAAAGAACAGGCATAAAGTTCTTTTGTGCGTTCTATTTTTTTTTATTGCCCTACTTGTCTTTGAAATCCCTCCCTCACTTCAGATGTGGCTAAAGAATCAGCAGGTAGGACCAATATGAGTCTGAATATATGTGCTGAAGTGAAAGCAGGCATCTGGTGCTATTATCAGTCTTGTAAGAGAAAGTAACCCTCATGAGAAAGATTACACAGAAAGATCTTACCCACATAAACACTAGTCTTCCTGAGTAACTTTCAAATTCCTGCACTTCCTTGCAATAAGACTCTAGAAATCGTTTACTTTCAGCCACTGTGTTTGTCACAATGGCTCCAGGAGGATCCCTCCAAACTGGATTTTGTGATTCCTCTGTCATGTGGCTTCAGTCTGAGTTTTACTGATGGGAGACCTGGCCTGAGACTGGAGGGTGGAAGGAGAGAGAAGCCACATCATGTCCTTCCTTGCTTTCTTTGTTTGGGGCTATACAAGATTGTGATGAATAGAAACTATGTATTTGGTCATCATAATGATATGCATGTTTGCATATTTGATCTTCATTTACTGTTCCTGCCTCTCAGCTTCCCAAAGTCTTGGTATTTCCCAAGTGTTTTGTTATGTGAGTTAGGAAGCACCTAGAAGTGGGACAAGGGGCAATCCTGTGATGACAGCGGGTTGGGCTTTCCAACCCCACCTCCTGACCTCAGGGGAAGAAGAGTGGCTTGAGGTTGATTTCAGTTGTCAATCACCAGTGATTTAATCAATCATGCTCATGTAATGAAGCCTCCACAAAAGGTCAAAAGCAGGAGCTTCTGAGACTTTCTGGGTTGGTGGACCTGTGGGCATCTAGGGAGAATGACAGACCTGGAAAGGGTGTGAAAACTGCATCCTGCCCAACCCCCCGCCCCACCCTACCCTAAGCAGGTCTTCCATTTGGCTGTTTTAAATGCATTTTAATACATTGGTAATCTAGTGAGTAAAAGGGTTTTCTCTGTTCTGCGAGTTGCTCCAGAAAATTAATTGAGCCTGAGGGACCTCTGGTTTGTAGGTGGCCAGCCAGAAGCACAGGTGAGAACCTGGACTGTGTCCAGCACTGAAGTGGAGGGCAGTCCTGGAGATGGAGTCCTTTACCCGTGGACACTGCGGCCATCTCCAGGCAGAGACCAGTGTGAGAGAACTGCTTATTAATGAGGGGACGCCTTCCCTGCCCCTACCCAAATACTGCTCTCAAGACAACTGCACAGTCAGGATCTTTAAAATGCAATTGGATGTATCTTGTTTGTGGTCTCAGTTCTTGTTGCCCACCCCCACTCCTGACACCCACTAACCTCAGTCCCAGGTACCCGAGCATCACCGCTTTCTTTATTTCCCTACCAAGGGAAGTTATTACCTTCCATGGTTGGTCTAAGGGATGGTTCGCCACCCTTGCTTTGCCCTTCCTGTTTGTCATATACTTTTTTATAATTTTTCTTCAAATAAAATCTCTCTGCTGAACTCTCTTTTTCTTGACTCTGATAGATTTATTTCAGAAATAAACTTTGTATTTGTTAGTACAAATACCTCGTTGCCTGAGCTCCAAGGGAGATCCACTTTCCTTTCCATTCCATTCTAGAAGCAAAACTGTAACACCTTCTATTCATATAGGGTAGAGGCTTCATTACATGGCATGCTTGAGTAAATCACTGGTGATTGACAAATGAAATCAACCTTCAGCCACTCTTTCTCCCCTGAGGTCGGGAGGTGGGATTGGAAACTCCAACCCACTGCCATCACATGATTGTCCACTGTTCATGAGTCCCCCTCTCTAGGTGGTTTCTTGGAAGAAGCCCTGTGAGATAGGCAGCAGAAGACAAAATTGGCTACACTTAAGCAGCTGATAGTAGAAACAGAAGAAAGGAGATATTTTAACCTAAATCTTCTGTCTCAAAGTCATAAGGGTAAAATAATAATATTTTAAATGGCCTCATATATGAAAAACATATTTAGTAGTAAGAAGAAATGTTTCTGAAGCTTATATTAAGTGCCTTCTAGGTGTATTTAAAATTTAACCTTTATTGGTATTTCTTTCTGGTATTGGTTCTTAATACCTTATATTTATCTTCATATAAATTTCGAACATTACATCAGCCTTCAGTGAAATATCAGATTTTTCAGTGAAAAATCAGTGAAAATAGTGTTTGAAAAAGGGTTAGAGAAGAAAGAGAAAAACAAGAAGGGTAGATATTAAGCAAAAGAGAAAAATGATAGGGGCATTTGGTATCTTACAGAGAACACTCTCAAACACACACATACATTCATTTATTAAAATATATAAAGAGGTATAGAATAGTTTTTCATAGAATTCATGATAACCTTGAGACCATATGACAAAGTAACTTATAACAAACCTTTGTAGCCTAATTACATGTGAATATTAATTGAATTACAAGGCCAAATAATTATCTTTTCTTTCCTCCATTTAAGAAACTTTGGAAGGAAACCGTGTCTCTTTGACATAAAAATTATTTTGAAATGAAGATAATTAACCAGAAAAATATAGAAAATAAACTCCCTTCTTGGCCTTATGGACAAAGAAAAGCGTCTCCTTTTACTAGAGATAGACTCTTAGCAGGACTGGCAGGAACCAGAGGAGTCTGCAAACTTTGCTAAGCAAACCTTATTTTGCCTCACCCAGTTAGATGGCTTTCCACCTTTGTCTTGTCAACTCTTCATCAAAATGTATTGATTTTTTTTTTTTTTGCTTTGTTTTGTTTAAAAGAGATAACACCTTTCTGCTCAGGTTACTTCTAGGGTCCTCATCCTCTTGTGAAGCTACCCCTCTACATGTAAAATGTAAATAAAACTTGTAAGCATTTCTCCTGTTAATCTGTCTTCACTAGTTTAATTTTCACACCCCTATTCAGGAACCCAAAGAGGGTCAAGGAGAACTTTTCCTTCCCTTAAAATCCAATTTGGATTATAATTCTGAAGTATACACAACTGCCTCAACTAATACTCCTAATCTTACCAGTCTATTTACTTCAGATAATTGTTCACATGGCATGTATTTATCTGGGAGAAAAGTTCACATTCAATCACTTATCATTTTGTCTCTGTCCTGATTGAGCCTCTTTCATTTGAAGTGTGTAGCCCTTCCCCCTACTCAGCCGTTCTCCGGGCCTTGAAAGCGGCCTTGAATGCAGCCTTGACATGGAGAAGGCATTGTTTTCCTCTGGGGAAGAACCTGGCACCACTTGTGCCCAGTGGTCACTGGGGTTATGTTGACATAGCACATTTACTGGAAAATGGAGAATGCCAGTCCAGCTGTTCCTTGGAATATGTTGCTCAAAATAGATTCATCCTCAGCTGGTGAGACTGAGCTGGGTCAGCAAGACCAATTCTATCCTCCCTCCCCTCATCATGCATAACACAAGCCTCCACAGCTCCAGTTGAGAGGTCAGGGGCCTTGACCTGGCAGGTGTCTATTTTGAGCGGAACAGCCACACAAGACCGGCAGAGGTTGTACATGGAGGGAACGTGCTCGCCTCAACTTCTGTCCTCACCGGATGGTGTAGCTCAGCCTGGTCAGTCAGTTACCCACTCATTCAGAACCTATATTTAAAAATTTCTGGCCGGAGTGACTACTTATTTCCATGGTCCTCCAACAAAAGAGGTTACTCTGAGAAGTTAGGATGCTTTTCAGACATTATCTAATTAGCACTGTGTCTGTATTGCAGAAAATATCTGTAGCACTCAGCATTTTCATGAGAAAATTTAGTCACATCCTGGCTACTCTCATCTGAGTGAGTCAGAAGGTAGAAAAGACACAAAATGAAATAGGAGCTTGATTTGGGTTAAGTTTAGGTGTAAGACTTCCCATCTCTGGGAAGAGAAAGTCATTAGCAGAATCCCACAGTGTTGGGATGTTACAAGAATTACAAAAAAAAACTTCTCAGTCCTTTGTGGTGCTATGTATATAGGTAGTTAGCCTTACAATATTCAATTAAATGTTCTAGTTTTTAGTAAAATGCTGAATAAGTCTTCTGAAATGTTATGTTATAATCTGTATTTTTCAAGAGCATCAGCTGATTTGAAATAGTGTGAATACAGGTTTTCAAATAAACTCTTGGTATTTTCTCAATGACAATGTCGTGACAGCTATACCTCATCACTTGCTTATTGAGGGTCTCCTGGTGACAGGAGGGTGACAGTCACTTGTGCCAAAAGCCTCGTATTTTGTCTTTGGTATTTTAATGTAACCGATTTAGATAAGGATTGCTTATGAGATTGCTTAAGAGGAAAATAGATAAAAATACGATATGACATATAATTGAATTTGTAAATGCTTACTGGTGCTGCCCAGGCCAGGCCAAGAAGGAGCAGTCCAAAACAGACCAAGTGCATCTTTAAGAAACTCTGTAAGAAAGCAAAAAACTTTTTACCTAAAGCACTGCCAATTATGAATGCAATAACAAGAATAAATAAATCACTCAGGAATATATAAACAGTCTTCTCCCTAGCAGTCCATTTCTTTTTTAAAAACAAAAATCTGCATCTAATTCATTAATATGCTGGTGTGGATATTTTAATATAAAAGCTTTCATATGTCTACTTATTTCAATATTGAAATGAAAATTATTCAATATTATTAAAACAATGAATTCAGTTAATTAAAAAGTGGATTTTTAAGGCATATTTATTTGTTCTATCATCAATGCAAATTTTTCCTTTTCATCTTTAACAGGTGATTGTTTAGTTAAATTATATCATTTATAATGACATTAAGTTAGTATAACAGATCATGACCGTTTCCTTAAGTGAGTTTGCTGGAGAAGCAGGGTTCACTGTGGGGAATGATATCATATCCCTACAGGTTAGTGCTCCAAAGTATATCCTTATAGTCATGAACAGTATATCTGAGTCAGTAGCCATTCATGGGCTGGAGAGTGAAAATAATTTATATAATTATTGATCATCTTTATTGATCATTTTTGACTACAAAAATGAGCCAAATACTGATGTAAAAAATTTACATGTATTTAGCTGAACCTCATAACAACCTTCTTATCTTATAGATGGAGAAGGCACATAAACTGAGTATTCTAGGAAGAACTGAGATTAGTATTCTGGAAATGTAGCTAGAGAGACCTTGTTCTTAATCAAGATTCAATCAGCATTGAATAAGCCTCTATTCATTTATATCATTACAGAAAACTATATATATAGTTGACTTAAAACAAAGTATATTTGCTATTCATTGGACCCCACAAGATTATGTTTAAAACACAATTATTTATGGATAAAGGTACATGTTTATACTAAGAATATCTAGCAAATTCATTTAAGTCACATAGCCATTAGAATGAAAAACAAAATATCAACTTAATCTGTATTACTAAATCTGAGAACTTTGATGAACCTTAAATTCATCACAGACAGTAGCCATTATGCAAATAAAAAATTTATACCACTCTTTGAGCTGACTTAGGGAGAAAGCAAATTTAATGGGAGAGATAATCTAAATATTGGTGCAATCTTTAAATATTTCAAGATAAGACTATCTTCAGAAATAAATGTAAGTTTATTTATTCTAAAATCTTAGATAATTCTCTTCTAAATCAACACAATTTTAAGGACCTTAATTCTTACTATAATTTAGCCTTCTAAAAGAGCTTTCTATAGATCAGGATAATTGATCAGTAGAAACATCACCGTAGATAACATTTGGAAGTATGAATATGATCAAATGATCCTTATTTTGGCTTGTATATAAAAGTTTAGAGTAAAATTACAAGCTCTGCATTATCGTGGTGCTTGGACATGCTGATAGTAAAATCAAAAAGAAATCTACTAAGTCATCAATTTTAATTGGTAATTTCCAGGGTTTGGCCACGGTAACACACTTTCTATGTTATAAAACAAAGCACCAAACATTAAACAGCTGTAGTCAGTAGAGAATGTTTCCAATTTGCATGTATTTCCAAAAGTAATCACCTTACATGAATGGTATGCATTTGAAAATGTAAATTATTACTTGAGAGCAATTTCTATTAAGAACATCAAGAAAGTCAATTACCTGGTGTCCGTTACCTTCAGAATACCTGACTTCTTCTGCAGGATTAGCAGATCCTGGATCTTTGGCAGAAATTTAAAGTTTGTTAGCCTTTCCACGGGCCAATCAGCTGTGACTCACTTAGCACTAGCACAATTTGTTACCAGTGACCACAGATAACCATAGGGGTAAAGTAATTTTAATCTAAAAATGTTTCTGTGGTAGAAAGCTGCTATCAAATGTTCCACCAAAGTGGGCAAACAGAAAATATAAATACCTCAGTTTGGTATATCATGTTGTCAGATAATCAACATGGACTTCCGAACTATTAGCTAGGACAGACTGAATAACAACACATTTATAAATGGAGAACTTTCTAACTATCTTCTTGTATAGAAAATTTGTAATTTCAATTTTGTCTGAATGAAATTCAGCACATTTAATAAAAAATGTATTGCATGTCTATGATGTGTCAGATATCAGGGTAATAGCGAACAAAAGCAGACATACCAAAATTACCCCAGTTGTCATGGAGTTTAAAATCTGGTGAATTTTAAACAGACAATAAACAAAGAAAGAAAGCAAATTAATTGTGTTAGATAATGACACAGACTAAGTCTAAGCTGAAAAAATATTGCAAGGAGGGGGATACCCAAATTGAGAGTGGAGATACTGGAGAACTAGAAAGAGAGTTTTGGGA